TCCCATATTTCATATTCTTCTGGACTTAATATTTCTCCAATCTTTTCTGAATCATCTGTATTATCTTCTTCTGATTCTTCATTATCACCCTTTTCACCACTTTCTTCACTATCTATCACTCCTGCTTGTTCTTTCAACAACTTATCTAACTTTTTCTTCAGTTCTTTTTCTGACTCATTTTTATTTTCTTGAAAGATTTCAATAAATTCTTTATCTAAAATTTCTCCATCTGTATATCCCATACTAGTTAATCTTAACAATTCCTCTTCAATTATCATTATTCCAATATCCTCAAAAATCTTCTGTAATCTTTTTACCCGATCATCAATTTCATCAATATCTTATTCTTCACAATCTCTGCATACAGTTCCTCCTAATCTAAACATATCATTCATCCATCTTATTTCGCATCTTTCACACCAAGTTGTATTCTCATTTAACCACTTATGAATCTCTTTTCTAAATTCTTTATCTTCCAAATTTATCATTTCCATATATTCTTCTACAAATTCTTTAGTTATTATTATTCGATTATTTACTCCAAAACTTTTTATCCTTTAAATTTCTGATACATCTATTTCGTATCCCAATTTTTCTAAATCATCTTTTAATTCTGCTAACTCATCTTGTTCATCTTTCTGCATTTCTTTAATACATTCCCCACATTCATTATCTGTTCTGTCCATTTCGAATCTCCTATTACCACATCTTTTACATATTACTGTTTCTTTTTCTAACCATTCTCTAATCTCCAATTCTTTTTCCCTTTCATCCATTTCCTATACCTCTTGGACTTTATCTATAAATATTTTAGTTACCAATATATCCATTTCTATCATCAACTTTATTCCTATCTTCCAAATGTATCTCAATTGATCTTCATCTATAGAACTTGTCCTTCTCTTTAAATCACTAAATTTCCATGATTTGTCTCCTATTATTATCTCTAATTCTTCCTCAGAACTATTTTCTAATTCGTAACTCGCTGGACTACCTTCACTATCTGAATCCTCTGGTTCTTTTGTAAAGCCCCTAGTATCTATAAATATTCTTATTATCTTTTGTATCATATTTTTATGATGTTCTTGAACATTATCTATTTCTATATTTTCATATATTATTCCTTGCATTAATTCCTTCACTTTTTCTTCACTTACCGCTATCTTTTCTTCTTCATAAAATAATTCTTTGAACTTCTCTATTGCTCCTACTTCTGCTTTTACAGCTCTAATTTCTCCTAATGCGACTCTATACCATTGCCAAAATTTCTCAAATCTTCTCTCGACATCCCAACCTTCCAAGATATATTTGTGTTCCACTAACTCAGGATTCCCAATTAATCTGTCAAATACTTCATTCTCTAAATTTCCTTCAATATAATCCCTTACAATTACTAATATAATTGTCTGTAATCCTTTTTCTTTCATTTTTGGTTGTATTCTATATCTTATCGATTCTGTTATTCTATCCATTATGTCTCTACATTTTCCTTTGTGTATTGTATCTTCTCTTTCCGAATTATTCATACTTAATAAATCTATTACTCCCTTGATCGTTACATTATTATATATTATTATTGTATCTTCGAACTTAAATAATGCATCCCAAAATTTCTTGAACACCATTGGTT